GCCTGGGCTCCTTGCCATTGGTTCTTGTTGCTGGGTCATATGGGGGTTGCGTTCATTGAACGCCGCCTTTCCTTGTTGATCTTGTTTTTCATATTTTGTACCTTTAGACAATAAGATTTTTAATTTTTTACTATATGTACATAGTGAAAATCAATGACCCTCGGGGCGGGGCCAATATGACCCCAGGGCTATAACTTGAACAATCTTGATAGAGGTTTACTACACAATGTTTCATGCAAAATATCTAACCTCTAGCCTTTGTCAATTTTGAGAAGATGCTTTTTAAGATTTTACTATATTAATATAAGGAAAACCTATGACCCGCTGGGCGGGGCTAATTTTGACGCTAGGGGCAAAAAATGAACAATTTTTCGTAGAGTATCTATAGATGATATCATAAAATAGTGAAATACAGAATCCCTAAAGAAAGCCCAACACGACAAAATTGAAAATGTTGCAGGCTCGGTTGGGGGCTGCGTTCATTGAATGCCGCCTTTCCTTGTCGATCTTGTTTATCATATTTGATTGAGCCTGTTCATGGACGGTACTGGAAAGTGCAAGTGACCGTCCACGCCCCCTAGCACCGGCTTAAGCCTTGTGCATTCAAACAAGAAGGTATTTTAAATTTTACTATATGTACATATAGTGAAAATCTATGACCCCCGGGGCGGGGCCAATTTTGACACCAGGGCTATAATTTCAACACTTTTTGTAGAGGTCTACCAGACAATGACTTATGCAAAATATCTATGATCTATGCTTTGTGGGTCTTCACAAGAAGATTTTCAAATTTATTCTTATAATTTCTTCTGGTTGCCATGGCAACCAGATTTCCGCATGGAATGAAATTCTTTGAACAACTTTAGAAGCCCTTCACCCAAGGATCAATCCTTCCAAAAAATAGATAAATACAGAATGCGCCAGCGGCAAGGAGCCCAGGAGGACCCCAAAGAAAAACAGGACAGGGCAAACACATAACAAACAAACATACATCAACAATAATTGTCATTTTGATAATCAATCAGTAATCGAAAAAAGATCTGTATCAACCAAAATGTGTCTAAGAACTGTAAAGACCGCGAAAAGATGACTGAATTTATAACAACGCGTAGGAATACAACTTAATCAGTGACCCGAAAAATACAAAATATGAAAAACAAGATCAACAAGGAAAGGCGGCGTTCAATGAAACACCTAAAGAATGACCCAACAGATTAACCAATAAAAATTTCTGTATTATATCGGTAATTAATAGATTTTAGATAAATCGAAAATACTCTAAATTATCTCAAACACAGAAAAAACACAGATGAAATAGATATAGATTTAATCAGAGCTTAGACACACACATATATAATATATATCAAATGAACACTAAAGTGATGTCTGAATAAACAATGAAATATACTATGCAATCAGTCTAAAGGTAAGACAAATCATCAACTTGAACAGATATAATTATGACTAATTTCAGACCAATGAAAATATAGAATTAAATGAACACAGATCAAAAATCGCCCAACCCAGGCCAAAAATAAAGCAAAAGCAAAGCAAACAAAACAAAATGATTTACAAACTTACATACAAAGTCATCAAAATTCTGTATACCTAATGAAAGAAAATTGTAAACATATATACATGTGGATATATTAAGAATTCAACATATAAATTAAGCAAATATATAAATTAAGTTAACACAATATACATATGTACATTATACAAATACAAATTATAGCACAAAGAGAATATGAAAAACAAGATCAACAAGGAAAGGTGGCGTTCAATGAACGCAACCCCCATATGACCCAGCAACAAGAACCAATGGCAAGGAGCCCAGGCGGACCCCAAACACAAAAAGGACAGGGCAACGACACGTTAATCATTAAATGATAAATAATTTGTAACTGATTAGGAATTCAAAGAAAATAATAATAGGCCCACAAAGGGGAAGGGGACAGGAGACTGGGGGGAAGGGGGGGGGGGGGTTAATCAAAGAAATAAAAACTAGAGGCAATGGGGAAGATACTTACCGTAGACGAGAAAACAACAAGGGACACAAGCAAAAGTGTCACCAAAACAGTATGAAACAACATAGACATACATCTGAGGAACACAGTGGGGCGCCGCCTTGGAACGGTCAGCAGCATAATAATGACTGCTGGGGAGTTTAAACCGGTTAATGGTGCACCAAACCTCGCTCTTAGCCCCACCATGTTCCTATAAAACGAGACAGTGTAAATAAAATGAATCCCCGCCAAGTGAAATTCTAACAGTTGTCATGGTTACAAAAGGTTAAATAAGTAAAACACTAAAATGATCATGTAGAAACATATAAAAGTAAACCCAATGACCATAACAAAAGTACTCAATGTCCTAAAGGAAGACAGAGCAACAAGAAAATCACCTACAAGGGCCCGACGAAGCAAGGCAGAAGACGAACATTAAGACAATTCAGTCCCAAGGGCTTTACGAACTATCCATCATAGAGTCTCCCACTTGGTCCGTCAGATGCAATCAAAAGAGGAAAGCGTAGTGTCCAACTGTAAAAGGGTTGAACACTAAACATGCAGTATGTCTTAAAATAGTAGGGTCTCATAACCTCTTTTAATAAAACGTTTAATAATTTTAGTAAAAACAGCAGAAAAATTACCATGACCCAAAAATCTTACGAAGTTTGTAAACCACATCGCCATAAAAAACCAGGCTGGCTAATCCCTTGTCGCAGAAGAGTTTTTAAAAATCACTATTGAATTTAGAAATTAAATCAAAGTTAACGATTGTAAAATTTAGTAAATATTTCCGTAATTTATGATAGCGGTAGCCCTGTTTTAGAAGCTTGCTGGTAATAAAAAATATTCCGCTCGTTGAAATCCTTTACGTTGTTACAAGCTCTAGCGAATCTAATTAACTGAGAAACATAAACCCCGTAGGATGTTGCATGGGGTACGTCTCCATCCAAATGTGGATAATTAACTATACAAAAGTCAAAGTCATCTCTTTTATCATAAATTTTCGTGTGAATAGAATTGTTGTTGATAGTAATATGAAGATCCAAAAATGATGTACTAAAATTTCAAGAGTTCGTTTTATTAAGTTGTAGTTCATGCGGATAAATGTCAGACACCATTTGATCAAAATAAGGATTATCTAAATTAAAAATATCATCAAGGTATCTGGAAGTATTATTAAATGCGACTATAACATCTTGTTGTTTCTCTTCAGAGAGTAAAGTCACCCTTCCAGGTCCTTACCACAGGTTCTCTAGACTCTAGTTCTCAAGAAATCAAGCCATACAGGTAACATGACCACTGTTACACAGTACTAAAAAAAATAATCTGGAAACAAAGTGATCCCTCGGAAGCATTAATCACAACAAAATTACAAGAGAATTGCAGACTCGGTTTGATTGAGTCTGTACATGAGGGATAATGAATACGTGCAACATCCCTCACGCCCCCTAGCACCGGCTTGAGCGGTACTCAATTCTCAACACTTAATAGTGCTGGCATCAATGATCCCGAAGGACCAGAAAAATATAAAAACACTGAAGTGAAGTACGGGGCAACTTTTTACAGCTGCCACACAGCACTTGACACCTGCTGTTGTGAAGTATAAAAATCTGGAAACAAAGTGATCCCTCGGAAGCATTAATCACAACAAAATTACAAGAGAATTGCAGACTCGGTTTGATTGAGTCTGTACATGAGGGATAATGAATACGTGCAACATCCCTCACGCCCCCTAGCACCGGCTTGAGCGGTACTCAATTCTCAACACTTAATAGTGCTGGCATCAATGATCCCGAAGGACCAGAAAAATATAACAACACTGAAGTGAAGTACGGGGCAACTTTTTACAGCTGCCACACAGCACTTGACACCTGCTGTTGTGAAGTATAAAAATCTGGAAACCAAGTTATCTATCGGAAGCATTAATCACAACAAAATTTCGCGAACATTGCAGACTCGGTTTGATTGAGACTGTTCATTAGGGATATGTGTAATATTCCTCACGCCCCCTAGCACCGGCTTGAGCGGTACTCAATTCTCAACACTTAATAGTGCTGGCATCAATGATCCCGAAGAACCAGAAAAATATAACAACACTGAAGTGAAGTACGGGGCAACTTTTTACAGCTGCCACACAGCACTAAAACCCATGAAATATGATTACTATTTCAAAAGGTTGTCACCAACCCAATTTACAAAGGAAACATATTCCCTAAACACATTTTTTTAAATATATTTTTTAAACAAACTAAACCCTTTTTTCCCGCGTCACCAACACAAAATAACACCCAAACTATAAAAAAAAAAATATATTACTAGAAAATTTAAACCCTTAAAGAACATGAGAACTGTTTTAAATAAAAACAAAAATTTGAGCACAGCATCCCCTTTCCAGAATTAAAAAATGTAAACTTTTACCCCTAACTGCAAAAAATTTCTCGCCAAGGGAGCCCAAAAACCTAAAAAAAAAGGTCTTAGGAAGCAAACAAAATTGGGACTTTTCTTCTTTTTGAAAAAGCTCCTTTTAAACCCCTTTTATTGACCTTTGATTTTGCTTTTTGCGGGGTGGATGGGGGCTTGCTTTCTTTTGAATACCCCCTTTTCCTTGTCGATCTTGTTTATCATATTTTACAATGGGAAATATCATAATCACAAGGTCTAGGAAGGATACTTGAAAAAATCAAATGTGTTTGAGAAACCTTTCTAATTCACGTAATTAAATTACAAAATAGATAAATACAGAATCCCTAAAGAAAGCCCAACACGGCAAAATTGAAGATGTTGCAGGCTCGGTTTGATTGAGCCTGTTCATGGACGGCACTGGAAAGTGCAAATTGATTTCTTGAGAAGGCTAAGAGTAAAGTAAAGAGACACTATGAATTCAATTGTACATGTACAAAACAAACTAATGATTTCATCAGCTGAATAAAATTGGATATCATTAGTACCTACATGAATGAAAGTAACAGGTTTAGACACCAGAGCATGAAATTTGTCAATTTTAGCCGTTTATCTGCACAAATTAATCCCCGGAAAAGGAATCACTTCAGCACGATTAATTCCCTCTATATTCTTAGCTATTGAATCTGACAAGATGTAGACCGTGATATCTGCAAGAGTAAAGTAAAGAGACACTATGAATTCTATTGTACATGTACATAACCTTAACCATCCAAGGTATCAAACATTTTACATAGAATATTAACTTTATCAGACCAATCTAATTCAAGATAAAGCTTATAAGCGTCTGACTTCCAATCACCAATTAGTTGTATATGTTCAGGTGGAATGTCAGATTTAAAGGCTAAGGTCGCAAAACCCCTTCTAAACGAATGAGTGGAAATTTGTTTAGGGTCTAAAATAGATAAATACAGAATCCCTAAAGAAAGCCCAACACGACAAAATTGAAAATGTTGCAGGCTCGGTTTGATTGAGCCTGTTCATGGACGGTACTGGAAAGTCTTAGTTACCGTCCACGCCCCCTAGCACCGGCTTAAGCAGAATTCAACATTTAACATGAACTGGTAAAATTTAGAATTTTGAAACATCCGCAGATGTGTTCATATGGCAGTATCATGGAACCTTCAATGTGACACGGTAGTGCCATTCCATGAAAAGCGGCATATGGTCCCCAAGTAAAAAAATGCGTGTGCCCTAAACGAGAAAACAATGGGCGGAACTAAATAAAATGGAATTTTGAAAGGGGATCTGAGGTTATGAAGCCTGCGTATCACAGATAAGACGTCAAAAAAACAAATTTAAAAAGCAGGCAACATATCCTAAGGGTGATTCAACATTATTCAAGTAGTAATATTGGAACCACCCAACTAGAAAGTGCCAAAAAAGTGAAACTAAAAATACCACAAGCACAACAATAATGTCGTGCTGAACGATCTTCAAGGATCGAAAATATAACATCATTGATTAAATGTACGGGGAGACTTTTTACAGCCGCCACACGGCACAAATAAACCTATTAAAGAAATACATTGAGGCAATTTCTTTTGGAACATGTAATAAGAGATGTAAGAATCATGTGATAAGGAAAACAATGCATCATTACACTGTTCTATACTAAGATTAATTAAACGCTCATATGCTAAAACAGGACAAATCCTTTTGTCCTTTAATCTAACAAGTGGACAAATGATTATTCTTTCCCCAAATGGAATCGTTTTAGACCAGTTGAAATGTACTAGAATATAATTACGATGAAAATGCACATGTTTGGCATTAAGAAACCTTCCTTTATAAATATCTAGAGAAGACGAAGGAACCAGATTCGATTTTCTGGCAGCTAGGAAAAAGGCAAAAAGAAAGAGACACCAATAAACTACGTTATCAGATACTGAAAAATCCAAAACTTTATGAATAGAAAATAAAATATCTAAAGTAATAGGTTCAGCTCTTTTTATGTGATTAGGATTTAATCTTTGGATGCCTCTTAAAGATAAATTCAACAAATATGAATTTATATGATCTATATCATAAAATAGATAAATACAGAATCCCTAAAGGAAGCCCAACACGGCAAAATTGAAAATGTTGCATAACCCAATATTAGATGAAGAGTTTTAACACCACTGATGTAATTTCTAATACTGTCTACCGACTTAAATGACCCACTAAGAAATTGAGCATATAACCTCTAAGTACAAGTAGATGCTGGCAAAAAACACAAATTGAAATACAAGCAAAAAAGAATGAAACTTTCCCATTGAATGTTCAAATTCTTGTTAGAACCAACTGCAAATGCAGAAGCTGTAGAATGCCTGAGATCCTTTTTCAATGTATTAATCTCTGAATCTGAAAAAACAAATTAATTACCAATCATATTGAAATTTAAAGAAAGTATCATCAAGAGTGATACTTTCTATAGAAGTAAAACGGTACTTGCTGATAAAATTCTGACCTATACTTTTCATCCAAATGTCACCTAGATAAACAATCTGACACACGATTTTCAGTGCTTCTTATATGAACTGCTTGTAATTGAAATTCATATAAAGAGGTTACCAAACATAATTCACGCAGACATTTTTGTAGAAATTCAACTTTAGATTTCCCTGTATTCAACAATATACATACACTGAGATTGTCACAATACACCACAATTTTCTTTTTCTTCAATCTAACACACCATAACTTAACAGCTACTACTACTGCCAACATTTCTAAGCAAGTAATACTTAAATTTTGCTGAAGAATAAATTCTGGAAAAACACAATGAAAATACTGATTGCCGCAAATGCCACCGCAACCGGTTAAGCAGCTGTCAGAACTGAAAACCTCATCCACTAGTGACCATTCTCCATAGTCAATAAAAGAAATGCCTTTATACAAAGGAAGAAATCTAGACCACCAAAGTAAATCTTTCTTGACCTCTTGGGGGATCATATGATTAGCAGAGTGACTTTCATTACTAGCATAACAATCTCTTAACCAGTTTAAAATACGGTTTATGGAAACTCTGCTAGACTTTACACATGCTCCAACGAAATTAAGTTTACCTAACAACTTCTGAATTTCTTTTAATGAAGCTGTATTTTTTGTTAACCAAATATCTACCAATAATCTGATTTCCTCAAATAGATGAATACAGAATCCCTAAAGAAAGCCCAACACGGCAAAATTGAAAATGTTGCAGGCTCGGTTTGATTGAGCCTGTTCATGGACGGTACTGGAAAGTGCAAGTTACCGTCCACGCCCCCTAGCACCGGCTTAAGCAGAATTCAACATTTAAACGTGAAATAGTAAAATTTTGAATTTATAAACATCCGCAGATGTGTTCATACGGCGGTTATCATGGAATCTTCAATGTGACACTTCCGTGCCATTCCATGAAAAGCGGCGTATGGTCCCCAAGTAATAAAAAGCGTGTGCCCTAAACGAGAAAACAATGGGCGGAACTAAATAAAATGGAATTTTGAAAGGGGATCAGAGGTTATGAAGCCTGCGTATCACAGATAAGACGTCAAAAGACAAATTTTTTTTAGCAGGCAACATATCCTAAGGGTGATTCAACATTATTCAAGTAGGAATATTGGAACCACCCAACTAGAAAAACCTCACATTTGGAAGAATGTTTACAAAAACAAGAAATACTATTCTTCTCATCTCTATGAGGGGGATTTAGACAAAAACTAGGAAGAAACAGATCAATTATTCCATTACCATGAAAATAACTATTGGACCAAAGACCATTTGATAGTCAACCAGATGCGTGAGGACATGCCGATGAACACTCTGGATGATCAAGCTCTTTTTTATCTAATTGCCAACAAGAAGCACATATGTGTTTGGCAAATCTTGATTTTCCATTTTTTGTAGTAACAACATGAGAGGACTTAAAGGAGCATTTATTCCTCTGATATTTTGAACAAAACCAAATTTTTGTATCATCATGACCTCCAAAGTTTGATTGAAAAACATTTGTTTGAGAAGAGGAGTATCGAGGTCTCAACTGTAAGACTGGTTCAGATTGATTCTTGGTTCGAATCCTGTACCTGGACAAAACGGCTGTTTCAACATAAGTAAAATCATCACCCCAACTGCCTAATCCTAATTCTATTTCCCGCAAAATAGCTGCATAGAGGGATTTAATAACTGAAAATTCATAAGATGAATTGAGATACATCAATTTTTTAAGCAACAAAATTCTCCCTTCTTTCTCAACAGGATTAATTTTTGAACTAGATATTATCTCTAACTCCCCAGCTATAAAAAGATTAAATTCCAATTTGTCAAAAGTGATATTTCTACTAACAAAATCAAATCTTAAGTTTGAATGAGGATATTTTTGCTTGACTTTAACTGAATCTGAAGCTTTGGAAGTGATACCAGATCTATTTTTGTGTTTATGTTTTTTATGTTTTTTGTTCCTGGTAATATTGTCAAAATCCTGCACGTCAGAAGAGCCAGAACTGATTGAACGTTCTGAACTATTAGAAGAATCTGAATCTGAAGATGACGAATGAAGCACTACTCCTAAAGATTTGAGCTCTTTTCTTGCCTTGTTTCTCAAATTAGGCATATCACGAAGAGTGTTAATGTTAAACTGAGTCGTACCTTTGGATCCAGATGTGTCAGCTTGCTCTGTTGTACCTTTCCTTCCAAGAACTGTCCCATGAAAACCATGAACCTCAGAAGAAGATCCTGATGAAATTAGTGGAAATTTCGTCTTTGGCCTAGCACCGCCGACAATACCCATATCCGAATTGGAAACATCCGAAACACCTGCAACTGTCGCTACGGATTTTTCTAGAGATTGTATGTATAATTCCCGTTCGTGAACTTGTCTGCGTAAAGCAAATAACTCCTCCTGTTCTTTCAAACGCTTTTCAGCAGTTGCCAAACTTTTAAGTTTATCGTTGAGAGCTTTTTTCTCAAGTTCAATTGGATCAATATCACCGCTTTTATCCGGGTTCTTTGGCGGGGGAGTAAGAGTTAATTTGGGGGCGGTTGAAATTTTCGTAACATCTGTAGTAGGTGTTATAACATCTCTTCCCTCATGCAAAGCTTTATAGTCTGGGTTATCTTTAACCCTTTCTGATTTCCTTTCCTGAGGCATTGTTCAATTCAAACAAATAAAAAGTTACCTTCCTAATAAGAAGCAAGTCAAAAACAATATATAAATAACTGGTCCCTGCAACTTTCTAACTCATCGTGATAAATGTAGACCGCTCCACAAACAAATGAAAACTTCTTTAGCACAAGACGGGCACAGTAAAACCCTATGGTAATAAGATAAACAGATTGACGAAATTAGATCTGTATCAACCAAAATGGGTCTAAGAACTGTAAAGACCGCGAAAAGATGACTGAATTTATAACAATTTATATTTCCGCTCATTGTTTTCTCGTTTAGGGCACACGCTTTTTATTACTTGGGGACCATACGCCGCTTTTCATGGAATGGCACGGAAGTGTCACATTGAAGGTTCCATGATGACCGCCGTATGAACACATCTGCGGATGTTTCTAAATTCAAAATTTTACCATTTTCATGATTAAATGTTGAATTCTGCTTAAGCCGGTGCTAGAGGGCGTGGACGGTAACTTGCACTTTCCAGTACCGTCCATGACCAGGCTCAATCAAACCGAGCCTGCAACATTTCAATTGTGCCGTGTTTGGCTTTCTTTAGGGATTCTGTATTTATCTATTTGATTAAGTCTGTACATGAGGGATTATGAAATATGATAAACAAGATAACAAGGAAAGGCGGCGTTCAATGAACGCAACCCCCATATGACCCAGCAACAAGAACCAGTGGCAAGGAGCATACGTGCAACATCCCTCACGCCCCCTAGCACCAGCTTGAGCGGTACTCGTGGTCCTGAAACCCACCAAATATTTTTTCCATTGTAATTAAAAACTGTAACCTAACTGCAGTATCAACATTAAAAACGCCTGATTGTAATAGCTGAACTTCTTATTCCATTGTTACAGGATCAGCTGCATTTGCTTTTATATCCATTCCCTGAGCATGGAGTTCTCTCATTCGTGTGTCTAAGCACCCTCTTAAATAAATAAACTGTGTTTCTAATCGAAAAAGAGTTAATGTAAGGTTTTTGAAACTCAATTTGTGTGAGTGTTTGGTGGGTATTCTTCTAAAATTGTTCTAAAAGTTCTGTTAATTAAACAGAAGGGTCAGGAGGGCTAAAATAGATTTTTTTAAATGAATTCTCTAAAATCGTCTTCTCTGAAAGTGCATAACCTACAGCTTGGATGGAGCTAAGATATTTTATGTGAATCATTATCTTACGGAACTCTACCTAAATTGTTCAAATTATAGCCCTTGGGTCAAAATTGGCCCTCGCCCCAGGGGGTCATTGATTTTCTTTGTCAGTCTTTAGTTATATTTAGTACAAACTTAAAACAATCTTCTCTGAAAGTGCAAGGCATAGAGCTTAGATATTTTGTGTGTAACATCATCTCATAAAACTCTACAAGTGTTTTCCGAAAATAAATACAAAATGTGGAGCAGATTAAAACTCGCATCAATCGCGTTGCTGTCCTCCATCTTTCCAAAATGTAACACAAGGGCGCATGTGTCCTCGTGGGCAATGACGTAAATCATGCATATTTATAACCATCATTCAGGTAATTGTTGAATCTAATGGGTCTGTTGTGACGTAAAAAGGTGAATACTAATAAAAAATACAGCTTGTAGTGGGGCGGGAAATTGAGAAAATAGTGCAAATTGTGATACAAGCATGTAACTTTCAGGAAATTATTTTTAGACCATATAGATTTCAAAAATGAAGTGGGCCCAACAAAATCTCTGCTCATTCAAGATGGCCGCCATTTTCAAAATGGCCGCCATATACATTTGACGTACATACTAGCCCATTCATTCCAATTTTTTGTACAGACCTTTAACTAACACCAAAAGCATGCATATAGTTTTTCCTTTTCAAAAATTTAAATCTCACATAATTTTTCTTTCATAGTTCTTTCAAATCCAAGATGGCGTCCAATATGGCCGTCGATTTTGTTCAAAACTGTTATATCATTTTTATAGTATAATTAGTTGCACAAATTATGTTTATTATGATAAAAAAAGTGTTTAAACATATCAGAGATAATCAAAGTATATGTTAATCTCAATTAAAGGTTTTTGTCAAAAAAATATCTTTAAAAAGATCAAGAAAAAATTCCAATTTTTAAACAATTTTCAAATTTGATTTTCTAAATCACTGTACAAAGATAAAAAAGTTACTTTATATTTTAAACTGTATTTGACATTCCATTAATATCATGTGTTTATTGTAAACAATTAAATCTTTAGGTTGTACATTTTGTGAAAGTGGGTGGGGTAATTTTACATGATAATTGTCAACAAAAAAAAACAGAAAATATACATAGCTAAGTTCATTGTATTTCTTTGCCTTTTTACTTTTCTATGAATTCTTATGCAAATGTTCCAACTTAAAAAGTACTTTTTATTGGATGAAAGTATTTTTGTTTTCCCTCGGGCGAAGTGGGTGAGCAAGAAATGCACATACGAAAATGTGTATACATTCAGTTATTAAATTTGGTTGCATGATAATTCTTGTTTCAATATATTTGATATCATATATTAATTGTTAATTGTAAAGACATATAAGAAGACAATAAATCAACTAAACGTGCTTAAAATAGCAAACATGTACATGAATGTAAGGTAAAAGTTAGTCTATAAACACATTTTTTTGACTCCTCCACAATTTTATATTTATAATATAAACATGGCTTAAAAGCCAACAAAATGTGATGTGAAACAGATATATCAGTGATATGGCCTGGCCTGCACGCAGCTTTTTGAAAAGTTAAGATACAAACTAAGTGTATTTCCTAAAGTTATCATATTTCTTTTTTTTTCTTTCAATATGAGGGTAATGATGACCCTGGATCACTCACCTAAGATCATTGTTGGAAAAAAGGTAACACGATCATTTTGGGAGTGTCAATTATGTCATTACACACATGATTTGTATCATAATTGAATCTGGTTGCTTTTAAAGAAACATGCTCAATATCTAGTTTCATTTTTTTCACACAAGAGGACTTTAATAACCATATTCATATATGAGTCCAAATAAACTTAGTGACCTCTGGTGTTTGGTAAATTTGGACCATGTTGTCAACGATATATCAAATATTTGAAGAGTATAACATAATTATGATGATACATGATTAATGTATATGCGTCGGATATTGTAGGTTAAGAGAAAACAGATTTATTACAGTAGTATTTGTAAATTAAGTGATACGATTGCACAACCATTTTAGACTGCAGTAGCATCATTCAAATTTATGCATGTTACATCAATCTACATCCAAATAAATTAGTTCAAGTCACTGTAGTTTAACACTAGATATTTTTAATGTGTTTGTGAACCCAGGTGCCTCTATGAGCATGATTCATTAAATATGTAAATAAAATCCACAATGTGGTGGTACATGCTTAGTACCTGTGCATTTTGATTTTTGAGAAGATTTTTATGCCCCCCTTCGAAGAAGCGGGGGTATATTGTTTTGCTAATGTCCGTCTGACTGTCTGTCTGTCTGTCGGTCGGTCTGTCCGTCGGGTAGACCACATGTGTTTCCGGGCTGATTATTCTTGAAAAAGTTATTTATTCCACAAAGACTTCATATTTCACTAATGTGATTGGTCATAACTAGTAAATGACCCCTATTGATTTTGGGGTCACTAGGTCAAAGGTCAAGGTCACAGGGACCTTAAAATGTCAAAATGGTTTCCGCTGATTATCTTGAAAAGTATTTATCACAAAGTCTTCATATTTCACATAGTGATTGGTCTTAACAAGTAGATGACCCCTATTGATTTTGGGGTCACAAGGTCAAAGGTCAAGGTCACAGGGACCTTAAATGTCAAAATAATTTCCGCTGATTATCTTGAAAAGTATGTATCAAAAAGTCTTCATATTTCACACTAAGATTGGTCATCACTAGTAGATGACACCATTTGATTTTGGGGTCACTTGTCAAAGGTCAAGGTCACAGGGGCCTTAAATATCAAAATGGTTTCCGCTGATTATCTTGAAAAGTATGTATCACAAAGTCTTCATATTTCACATAGTGATTAGTCATCACAAGTAGATGAACCCTATTGATTTTGGGATCACTAGGTCAAAGGTCAAGGTCACAGGGGCCTTAAATGTCAAAATAATTTCCGCTGATTATCTTGAAAAGTATATATTACAAAGTCTTCATATTTCACACAAAGATTGGTCATCACTAGCAGATGACCCCTTTTGATTTTGGGTGTCACTAGGTCAAAGGTCACAGGGGCCTTAAATATCAAAATGGTTTCCGCTGATTATCTTGAAAAGTATGTATCACAAAGTCTTCATATTTCACAAAGTGATTGGTCTTCACTAGTAGATGACCCCTATTAATTTTGGGGTCAATAGGTCAAAGGTCACAGGGGCCTTAAATGTCAAAATGGTTTCCGCTGATTATCTTGAAAAGTTTGTATCACAAAGTCTTCATATTTCACATAGTGATTGGTCATAACCAGTAGATGACCCCTATTGATTTTGGGGTCACTAGGTCAAGGTCACAGGGGCCTTTAATGTCAAAATGGCTTTCGTTGATTTTTCCATAATTGAACACTTCCATGTACCCATTTTGGCAAGTTTCTGTAATAAAATTACCAAGTATGTGAGTCAATGGCTAGAAAGGGGGGTATATGTGTCGTTCGACATTCTTGTTTTATTTTGCATTTACAAAGTGTTTTATGTATCTTTAAAGAGGTCTTCTTTACTTGGCAAGGTTATATTTTGGCTATCTATGCTCTAGGCATTGCAGTTTGTTTGTTTGTTGATTTGTTTTAAATAACAACAAAACAATTTCAATGCCATTCCCTACGCAAGTCTTTAAAAACTGTGTTCCTGACGTGAGGGCCTTTAAATCATGCTCCAGCAGTTCAAAATGACTTTCCCTGTCACTAAGTTTACATTGACTTATAAATTATATATTCTTTTCCGAAACTACAGTGCACAGAGAAGAAAAAATATCGTACATCATCACATTGTGATGCTAATATTTAAGATTATGAACTATTGGCATAGGGTCAAAATCACTTAGATTACATGGACTCTTATTGGAAAATAGTTATATGAGTCTTCTTGTGTGAAAAAGTTCTGAGAGCCTAGATATTGGGCGTGTTTCTTTTCAAATAGTTTATAAATCATGACTGGTGAAAAAA